CCGTTTACAAAGTGCTGCTGCTCGCTAACAGCACTTGCCCCAGCTTATTGCTGAAGGCTATACGAGGGGGGGGAGGATCTTTGTCTTTGTGCTCGTCGACATACCTCTGGTAGCTCGGCACCGCAGCACGAGGGGTGTGGCTGGAGACCGAAACGGGCCGAGACTCGCACGGCACGAAGCTTTGCACCGGGGTTAGGAGGCCGAGAGCGGAGAGAGCGAGAGAGCAGGGACGCGGCGGAGAAAAAAACGTGGCTTGCCCACCCCCCCCCGCCCCCCCCCCCCCACCGAGTGTTCTAATTGGAGGGTGGCACCATAATTACGATCATCACAATTATCATCATGACCCCCCCCCCCCCCCCGTGTAGCCTTTAGCAGACTGTTGGGGTCTTGTGCCGTTCGCTAGGAGTAGCAGCGCCAACGAAGACTACGCAGCACACGAGGGGGCGGGTGGCCAGCACCACGCCCGCCAGCCTTAGTCTCACAAGTGGCCACATTGTCGACACGCGAAGCAGGTACTCGTTTGAGGCCGAGTCGACCTAGGGGAGGCCCAGCACCCGTTCAGATAATAGTCACTGGTACCGGCCGGGAACAGGAATCGAACTCGGGTAGCCGCACACGGCCAGTATCATCATCGTCACCACCGTCGTCGTCATCATCAAAATGACAGAAACGAGTTTAGGTTGTTGCCCTTCCCCCGCGTCGCCCATCAGCGCGGTTGACTGCGTACGGTGCAGAAAGAAGTTCAACGCACGTGCGTCATCACAAAGGCAAAGATCCCCCACACATATAAAGCCTTTAACAGATTTTTGGGGGCAAGTGCTGTTCGCGAGGCCTCGCCTATACCGAGTTTCAAGAGCCGGCAGAGAGCTCGAGAGGCCAGGACGAGCGTGACCGGGGGGGGGGGGGGGGGGGGGGGGCATTGTACGTAGAACTTCTTTCGCACCATACGTAGCCAACCGTGTCCAAATCGGAGGTGCAGGGGAAGGACAAAAACGAGCCTCTCAGTAAGGACGGCACAGCACGCGAGAGGGGGGGGGGGGGGGGGTGGCCAACACCGCACCCTGGCCTACAGTACTCAACTGGGGCCCGAGTCGACCACGGGGGTGGGAGGAGGAGCCAGGAGCGCATCTCGTATCACTCGCCTCTCGACGCCCGCCACCGCCCCCCCCCAACCCTCCCGTCCCCGTTGAGACAAGACTCAACATAAGCACACTCGAGCGCTGGAAAGAGGGCTTCCGAATGCGTAAGTACCGCCACTGCTATTACCATCATTATTGGACAAGCCGCGCCAAGTTGCAGTCACTTTTTTTATATCGGTTTGCAATTGCAGGCCTCCGCGCGGCCCCCCTCGCAATTAGTGGCGGGCAGCAGGCCCAAGCCGACCGACCGCCACCGAATCGTCACCTTGCCTGCCGTTCCCCACATGCCCGCGGGGGCACGTGGCACGTGCCGGGCTCGAGCGTTGGGTGGGCACTTAAATCGCAATAATTCACATTTGTCTCTAAAGGGCACCATCCGCGAACGTCTCGAGGCACCTTGCAAGATCAAGGATACCGAAAGGCGAAGAGGAGGAGATGAACGCAATAAACGGGCTTGAGAAGACGCGTTTTAAAGACGAGACTTCAAAAAGTAACCGCGTAAAAAAATCGGATAACCGAATTTCCAACGGTAAACGACCTCCCACCTCTGCCGAGCATGGAAGAGTAGGCCAAAAGACACCCTCGACCAGGGGGGGGACCTGTGCAAGCGCGCACTCTGGTGGTTGCCCTTCCTGCCCAGCAGTGGACAAACAGTGGCTTATTGCGGATGGTGACGGTGGTGGTAGGGTGATAGAACCTTCATCCAGCAGTAGACAGACAGTGGCTCATTGCGGATGGTGACGGTGGTGGTCGGGTGATGGAACCTTAATTTTGGATTTGAAGCTTTCGTGACTGCAAGGATTCACACTCTTAGTCTTTTCGGCAAAGTCACGTAGGCAAAAAATTAAATAAAAATTAATAAAAATAAAATAATAAAATTCACGACGTTTCGGAGGCAACACAAGCCTCCGTCATCAGGTGGGACCTTGATACAGCAAATCTGGTTGTGACGGTCCCACCTGATGACGGAGACTTGTGTTGCCTCCGAAACGTCGTGAATTTTATTATTTTATTTTTATAAATTTGAATTTCATTTTTACCTACGTGACTTTGCCGAAAAAACGAAGAGTATGATGGAACCTTCATCCAGCAGCGGACAGACCGTGGCCCACAATGACGATCATGGCTGGCCGGAGAAGAAGCCTTCATCGGGCAAGCAGTGGACAGACCACGGCTCACGGGAGGGTGCTCTCGTTCTAGAGCGGCAATTGCATGGCCTGCGCCTTTATCACCTGGTGGGGGCTGGTGGTGGGGGGGGGGCTCACGGGACGAGAGAGCGACAGCCGAGAGGCGGATGTGGGGTTCCAAATCAGAACTGGTTAGATGGCTTAGTGGGCCACGTGCGCTTGGAGCCCGCCCGGGCAGTCTCAGATCACTGCCTCTTCTCCGGTTTGTTTGTTTGTTTAGATTACACACACGCGCACACACGCGGTCTTACAGGGCGGCCCCCCTAAAGGTCAGGACACATTTTAGGGTCATTTAATTTATTTTAGCACCGGCGTTAAAAAATGGTTTTAATTGTTTAGAGCTTTGACCCCTTTTGCGTGACGATACGCCCGCGAGATGCGGGGCGGGGGTCCCCGTCGCGGGGGTCCGTCGAGGGGGTCCCGTTCACCGCTGAGTCTCAGAACGCGCGAGCGGCTCAGCGTTCATTTCGTTTAGAGGGGGCAACAGATGAATTTCCATGTGATGACGACGATGACGATGAGCCACTTCGAACGATCATTTGTGGCCAGGTTGCGTCTAAAAAAGAGCTAAGTAGCTCAGTGGGCCTTAAGTGGTAAAATTCAAAGTCAGTTTAGTTCGAACCCAGCGCCCACCCCGATTATAATACTGCCGTATGCAAGGACCGAGTTGGCGAGTTTTGGATGTAAAAGATCCCGTGACGTCGCTCGCAAGAGCGGGGGGAGGGGGGGGGCCCACTGTGTGCCGCCACCGGCGTCGTGGTCCAAATAAAAAAAAAAATATATGCAGTACATATAAACCAACAAAAAATTTACACCACGCAAATGTACTCCATTGGTAGACTACGTGGCAATCATCGCTGCCCCTCCCCTCCCGTCTCCCCCCTCTCACTGCGGGAAAAACTTGGCAAGACCTCCCTCCCTCCAAACGTCTCTCTTCTCACTGTTAATATCCAACAGTGCTCAGCGGAAGTGTGCTGGAGGAGGGGGCCTTCACAGGCCTTCATCCAGCAGTATTTTGATTCCAAAGAACACAGGATGAGATGTTACTATCCTTTGTGCAAGCACTTCCAAGAGTTCATGAACAGTGAGCCTGGTGAAATTTGGGGAGCGCATCGTCAGTAGTGAACCTTTGGTTCCTAGGGTGTTTCGGCCTTTCATACTATACACCCTCCCCAAAGGCGGCCAGCGACAGGGTGATCAATCCTACGCTTGCGTCCCATTCCCAATTAGTCATAGGAGTTGCCTTGTTGTTGATAGCCAACATCCCTTTTTATTTTATATATACACACACACGTATGGCGAGTTGTATACTCCACGAACGCAGCGACAAATTTGACTTGGAAGTAATCTCATTCATAAAACAAATAAAAATGTTAAAAGCCAAACCACGTTTCGCGAGGCTCGTTGAGGCCGTGAGCCGGGCGAATACGCGAGAGCTCGACAGATGCAGCCCGCAGGCCCCGTGGCGTTGTTCCGCATCGGCTGCGTTTCCAGAAGCAATGAAGCCAGACCCCCATTGCCTCCTCGACTCTCTAAAAGCGAACGTAAATATGACGTCTGCAGTCCTATTTCCCCAACCCAGTTCCGCTAATCTGCGTCGCTTTGCCGTGTGTCTCTGCGTGTGTGTGTGCGCGTGTATGCCTCTAATGGGGAGCGGTGGTGTAGCGGTTAGCGCGCTGCACTAGGAACCTGGTGACCCGGGTTCGATTCCCGCTCACGGCAAACACCAGTGACGATTATCTGAACCGGTCCCGGGCCTCCCCTAGGTCGACTCGGCCTCAAATAAGTACCTGGTGCGGTGTGTAAACATCGCGACTGGGGAGACAAAGGCGGTCGGGCGTGGTGTTGGCCACCCACCCCCTCGTGTGCCGTGCCGCCCTTCATAGGTGCTCGCTAACAGCACTTGCCCCTACAGTCCATTTAGTACGTACACATGGAGGGGGGAGGGGGGGTTAACCCAAATGCGTTCGCTTGCGTATGGGGGTCTACTGACAACGGAAACGGGCGGGGGGGGTGAAGCCTCGATTAATAATTTGTCGACATTGGCCTTCAAATGAGTTAGATAGTCTGGCGGTGGACTTTGTCTAAACACGTTAATATTATTAATCCTTGATCGTTTCTGGGCCGTTCTATAGGATTCGGGGGGGGGGGGGGTACGCAGGTGGGGGAGGGGTGTAAAAAGTACGCGTGCGTACAGGGAGGGAGGGCTCAAGTTGTGACAGATTTTTGCGTACTTACTAAATGGATGGCCCCGAAGGCTAAAACAGGGGATCTTTGATGTCTTTGTGCATGTTTGGATATGGTAAGTGGCCGGGCATGGTGCTGGCCACCCAACCCCCGCCCCCCCCCCTCGTGTGCCGTGCCGGCAGCCTTCATTCGGCGCTCACCAACAACACTTGCCGACGGTCTGTTGTAGGCCTACCTGGGGGGAGAGTGACTTTGTCTTTGTGTGGCACAGTGGGCAGCAGCACAGGTGGTGCATCTGCCAGTAATATCGGCCGGTTCACCCACAGTAGCCGGGTCTGTCCCGTGACCTCCTGGCAGCAGCGAGCGTCACACACACGCTCCGAGCTGCAAGTGCACCTAGCCTGGGACGAGATCAACCATCGCCCTCGTGCGAGGTCTCACGGTCTCCCATAGCGACGACAACATCGCCTCTCGTCGTCACGGTTACCTTCCGCCGTAGCAACTGTGGTTGCAAGTCGCCCCTCTCCTCCACCTCGCGCCGGATGTGGTTGAAAAGGCAGACGGGGAACTGGGCCCGGTAGTGATCGCCGAACGGGCCCAGCACGCCATCCGTGCTCTCTGCAACAAGACGGCGATCGCGAGAACGACGTTAGAAGGACGTGAGAACAACAACGACGGTCGATACACTGCCGGATGGAAGCCTCCACCACCCCCACCACCATCATCATGATCATCATGATCATCATCATGATCATCATGATCATCATCATGATCATCATTCAGAGGGTCCGTCCACTGCTGGACGATGAACTCCCAAAGTCACCGCGATTGCGTCATCACGACTCACCGAGAGCCATGGTCTATCAACTGCTGGATGACGACCTCTACATGTCATCATCGAGCCACGGCCCAGCAAATCTTGAAGGACTCTCCATCCAACCACCGTCACCACCTCCACCATCGTCATCCTCAACACAGTGGAGCCAAAGTCGCTCTACTGCTGGACGGAGGCCCACTATGCAATCACCATCATCGTCATCGCCCATGATCACCGCGAGCCATGGTCTATCCACTGCTGGCGGAAGCACCACCACCAGAGCGAGCTCTCCGCCAGACACCCTACCAGAGGGTTTCCGACCGACTCTCCCACGCCGGCCACGACGTCGTGGGAGTACCCCGACACTTGACCCCACCGCCTGACCCCACCACCACCACCACACGCGACCTGCCGATTGACTAATCGCGGCGAACCCCGTGGGGTGGACGAAGGTGGCACGGGGAGAGGGCGAATTTAATCAACTTGCCAACAGTATTGTGATAAACATGACTACTCGTGCATAACAACGACAAGGGGAATATTGATCGTGGTCGAGATTAAGGACACAGAGTGGCAGCCAAAAGGAGGGAACATGCCCCAGAGGATGTCCATCGATGCCACGCGTGTGCGTCTGTCTGTCCTGTGTCGAACTTTCAACGACGAGCCGGCCACCCTCCCCCGCAAGCCTCTCCCCCCCCCCCCCCCACTCACCACCGCCCCCTCCTCCTCGCCCCCCCCCCCCGCCGAGATGAACTGGGATCATCCGCTTGGTGCTGCGCTAATCAGCTGTGGCAAAATCCTCGCAATCTTGCAAGGTGGCACACGGCTCGACTCCGCCTCGGCCTAAAAATAGCGACGACTCCCGCCTCCAGTCCCCCCCCCCCCGCCTCCTCCTTCTTAAAAACGTCTGAACGGCGGTGGAAGAAGAGGCCAACATACCCTGCTGGAGGAGAGCCACTCGAAGGAGCTGCCCTCCTAAAAAAAAAAGAAGTGGGACGCCCTTCCGCCAGGCGGTGGCGCGAGTGAGCAAATTGCAGGGGCTGCACCTTTATATTCCTTTCGGGCGCAACCTCACGGCAAAGTTGGCGCGTTTGATTTTTGTTTTTCATCCCCTGCGGCAAAGCGCCGTCCCCCCCCACCCACCTCTCCCCCCAGTCCCCCCCCCCGCCGCCGCTCCGAACTTTCTCGACCGCTGGTGCTAAATATTCATCGGCGTGGCTTGGTGGCCTGGCAGAGCCGGCACGACGATGCCGTTTAGCCGTAGGCCGACCCACCCCGCCAACCACCGCCGCCAACCACCGCCGCACCCCTGGCAGCGGCAGCAGCAGCAGCGGCGGTGGCAGATTCGCGGTGTCCCAATAATCTCGGAGCTCAAGGTGGCGGCGGCGGCGGCGGCGGGGGCTGCACCCCGTCGGCCGACACGCTTGGAATTTCACATCGAGGAGGCAGGGAGCAGAGCGTGGATCGATCGCACCGCGCTCGGCAAAAACACTTCTCCTGCACAGTATCCATTCCGGAGCCTGTCCCCCCCCGCCCGTGCCACCACCCCCCGAACTACCCCCCCCACCCACCAGCCCTCCCCTCAGCCCCGCCCCCACCGACCCGCTTAGCTCAAGGCGCTTTGCATAGTTTAAAAGCGATAACAAAAGTCGTGATTCAGGGGCAGCGTAAGGGCCGAAGAATGTGCGACCGCAACAGGGGGCACAGCAGGGGGGGGGGGGGGTCACGAGGGCAACAGGGGAGGGACGGGAAGGAGTGGAGGGGCGAGGGGAGGGAAGAGGATGGGCGATGATGGAGAAGAGGTGAGGCTTTAAGAAAGGAATGAGGTTGAGGAGGGGGACTGCTTAGTGCACAGGGGCATTGCTGAGTCTATGGTGCAGTGCTGAGTCTATGGGCAGCGCTGAGTCTATGGTGCAGTGCTGAGTCTATGGGCAGCGCTGAGTCTATGGTGCAGTGCTGAGTCTATGGGCAGTGCTGAGTCTATGGGCAGTGTTGAGTCTATGGTGCAGTGCTGAGTATGGGCAGTGCTGAGTCTCTGGTGCAGTGCTGAGTCTCTGGTGCAGTGTTGAGTCTATGGTGCAGTGCTGAGTCTATGGGCAGTGCTGAGTCTATGGTGCAGTGCTGAGTCTATGGGCAGCGCTGAGTCTATGGTGCAGTGCTGAGTCTATGGGCAGTGTTGAGTCTATGGTGCAGTGCTGAGTCTATGGGCAGTGCTGAGTCTCTGGTGCAGTGCTGAGTCTCTGGTGCAGTGCCGAGTCTATGGGCAGTGCCGAGTCTATGGGCAGCGCTGAGTCGATGGGCAGCACTGAGTCTGTGGGCAGCGTTGAGTCTATGGTGCAGTGCTGAGTCTATGGTGCAGTGCTGCTCAATGCACAGGGGAAGTCGATTCTAGTGGAGGGGTTGCAAGGAGGGAGAATGACCCAACACGGGGATTGGGGCACAGGGAACAAAGCTTCCGCGATCCATCCGCCTGCTCCTGCACAAGGCGCCGAGTTCATCGCTCCACGATCTTTGCCACCCAGATGACCGGAGTCCCAGAAGTGTCTTCCGGAAGACGCCGCCCCTCCCCCCCCCCACAACGTCAAGGCGGCACATATTCGTAATCATCTTCTGGAAGATGGCGCTGCGTGGCAATACGTTACGTTCCAGAAGGAGTGCGCGTGCGCGCGTGCGTGCGTCTCGTGTGTCTTAATCCGCCCGTTGGGAATAATCGTCCGGAAGACAATTTCTCCCCAAAACGTAGAGCAGCGTGTCCACAATCATCTTCTGACAAGGAGGGCATTCTCTCCGGCACGTTACCGTATTCTCCCAAGCAACGATTACATTAAAAAAATACATTCAAATGGCACTAAAGTAGACCCGTCAACCATGGAGGGTTCACCCCGTATTTTTGTGCAGGGAAATCGAGTTCAGGTCCATATGGCGCACAGCCGTTACAATACGGGCAATTTTTTTTAGTCGTTGTCTATTTGTTTGTGTTTCGCCCTTGTGATGGGACTTTGTAGGATGAACGCTGAGATTTGTAAGGGCCACGGGGTGACCGATGAGGTCTGACTGGTCTGTAAGAAGGTAGGGCACTGATAAGGGATTGACAGGTTTGTAGTATTCTTGGTTCTTTCGGTAAAGTCACGTAGAAGGGAAATAATAAAATAATATTGATATAAAATAATAATAAATTATTTTATATCAATATTATTTTATTATTTCCCTTCTACGTAATATTGATATAAAATAATAATAAATTATTTTATATCAATATTATTTTATTATTTCCCTTCTACGTGACTTTACCGAAAGAACCAATAATATGAATCCCTGCAGTCACGAAAGCTTTAAATCAAGAGGTATGTAGTAGTGTAGTGTATAGTGTAGTGTATAGCGCCGTGTAAAGTTTAGTGTATAGGATGGATGTTGAGATGTACAAGGGCACAGAGGTGACCAATAATGGACTACCTGGTCTGTGTAATAGGGTAGGGCACTGATAATAGGGTAGGGCACTGATAAGGGATTGACAGGAATGCGAAAGTTGCGGGCAAGCCTTAACCATCCGGAGGATTCTATAAATTAAAAAAACGGTGTTTAAAACACGCTCTTTGTGCACCACCCACCCACGCGTCGCTGGAAGAAGACGCAATTGGGTCACACACACAAAAAAATTCCATCCAAATAAAAGCCGAAACGGCGCACAGACGGGGCTAACCCATAACATTCACAGAACAGAGGAGCCAAAATAATCTCAGGGCCATATCCTTCGCTTCCTGCCTCTCCCCGACCCCCACCCTGCCCCCCACCGGCACTCACATGAAACATATATCCCCGAATATCCGACAAAACCGGATACTCATTCTTAGAGGCCGAGTCGACCTAGAGGAGACCCAGGACCGGTTCAGATAATCGTCACTGGGTTGTTGGTAGCCGCGAGCGGGAATCGAACCCGGGTCGCTGGGTTCATAGCGCAGCGCGCTACCCGCTATAGTACCACTCCCAGCACACACGCACACACACACACACGTACACACACACACGCACACACACACACACGTACACACACGTACACACGTACACACGCAGAGAGCGGTGACAGATTCCAGTAAATGGACAAAACAATAACCACCCAAATCCGGTGGTCATCGCGAAATAAACGATGACTGTGCACGCGCGTGTGTGTGTGCGTGTACGCGTGGCAAGTTGTTCAGGGGGGGGGGGGGTGTGGTGGCTTTATCAGATAACGTGCCCATCTCGTCTGGTGGTCGGTGTCTGTGGTGTAACAGCGGGGGCCCCTGGGGCAAGAGTCACGAGAGGGACTTGCGTTCCTTTATCAGATGACGGGAAGAGGCTGAAGCTGAAGCTGCTGCTCCAACATCACAGATCGGGCCAGCCGGGGGATTCTGCTATTGAGCAGTTGTAGAAACAGGGGTGGTGGAGGGGGGGGTGGAGGGGGGTGGTGGGGGTGGTGGGGAGGGTGGTGATGGGGTGGAGGGGGGGTGGTGGGGAGGGTGGTGATGGGGTGGAGGGGGGTGGTGGGGGTGGTGGGGTGGAGGGGGGGTGGAGGGGGGTGGTGGAGGGGGGGTGGTGGAGAGGGTGGTGGGGAGGGTGGTAGAGGGGTGGAGGGGGGGTGGTGATGGGGGGTGGGGGGGAGACTTGCTACCTCGGCGGCGAATGCCATGTGGGAGAAAATAAGTAGGAGTACTGTACACCACCACCATCATCATCAATCATCATCATCATCCTGCACGCACACGCCCAACAACACGCACCAACCCCTCCCTCGTCAAGCCACTTTCAGAGCGAGGTGGGGGGG